GTGATTAGGTGCGTTTCCTTGGCCTGTTCGACTGAGGTTGAGGGTGAGCTGATGTCACAGATTGGATATTGTTTTCTCTGGGCTTGTGGGTAAATGAGATGGATCTGTAGATGAGGGAACGCTGATGGTGATGCCGTTTGTGTTTGCGTTAGCTTTAGGGTTACTATGCATACTACATACTTTGAGCTTTTGAACAAATTCAAATGTTTGAAGTCAGTAAGATTTCTGTTCAGCAAGGTTGCATTAATTTGATCAAAAGTGACAGTAAAGACTTTTATAAAAAAAGCAAAACTGTTTTTCTATACATTGATAGTAAGAAATATTTATTGAGCAGCAAATCAGCATATTAGAATGATTTCTGAAGGATCATGTGACACTGAAGACTGGAGTAATGATGCGCATCAGCTGCGCATCACAGGAATAAATTACATTTTAAAATATATTCACATAGAAAACTGTTATTTTAAATTGTAATAATATTTCACAATATTACTGTTTTTACTGTATTTTTAATCAAATAAATGCAGGCTACAATCCAATGCCCTCGACTTTGAATTGTAGTGTAAAAAACACTTTTACACAAAATTTGGTTTTAAAATTACAATAAATATTTTAAACTGTAGTTAAGCAAGTTTAAAATATGTATTGTTGCATACTGCTTTACATACTATAAAAAACTAGTAGACAGTACACAGTAATGGGTTTCACAACTACTCATTTTTACTAGTTGACCAGAAAATTAGCTGACTAATCAGTGTTTACCGTGTAGCATCAGCGGTCTCTGGCAAACCTAATCGACTAGTCGGTGCAACTTCTAGCCAACAGTATATAGTATGCAGTAAGCTACAGTAGTAGTTCTTACAGGCTGTGTAAAGACAGTATGTTTTGTGCTCATTCAGATTCATAATGTAGTGCTGTGACTATGTGGAATGAGGAACTGGATCTTGAAGGTCAGTTCTGAAATGAAAGAGCGAGACAGTGAGTGTGTAATCCACACAGAGAGATATACAGCCACAAAAGAAAGACAAAGTGGAAAAGAAAGCAGAGTCAGAGGCAGCGAGGAGTGGACAGCCAGCCGCTGTGTTCTCTGGCAGCATATCAGCAGGGTTTGCGTAAGAACATTCCCTCAGCCTGAAAAAATGCAAATCCTACTCTGGGATGCGGCACCATTTTTACAGCGCCAAGCTCCCAAAGAATGAATATCACAGTTGTGACCTTCTCTGCAGAAACCTTGCTGCTCGACCAACAAGCCGTGCATTAGCCACCTGAACATCACTGAACGGTTTGGGAGTGTCGACTGCATTTTGATGCGGCAGTGAATGTTCTAAATGATCGTCCCATAGGAATCACTTCCAAAATCGTCATGTTTATACAGTGATAACCGCAGCTATGCTTGAGCGTCTTGTGGCTGTAAACAAGAACCATGGACGCTCAATGTTTAACCTGCTCGGTGTCAGATAATACTGACAAAATTAATAAAAGTCAGTGTTTCTGGTTTTGCTTCAAATTTTATATTGGACATTAAAGACTCAATAGAGAACTAGAACTGTTACTGAAACTGAAACTGAAACTATTACTAACTAATTAAATAAACAAATAAATAAGATAGCTAATTAGATGTGTCACAGCTACTGTACGCTGCTCACAAATGCACAAAGATGAAGAAGAAGGTTTGTAAAATCTTTAATCCAACACTCTGGTAATGCAATACACAGGGTATCCTAAACGCAGACGTTGACGAGACCGGACCAACTAGAACTGAACACACCGGAACTTAAATGCACAGAAAAGAATGACACAATTTACACAATGAAGGGGAACAGTGCATGAGGAAAACATTCCAAACTGAATGACATGTGACAAGATGAAATATTAGTTAAAAAACATGAATGAAATTTTGAAATGTTGCCTTGGCAACTAACTGAAATAAAATAGGTTGAAGTACTGAAACTACTCAAATTTAAACTGAAATAAAGAAAATAATAAAAGTAAATAGAATTATTTAAAAAATAATAATAATAAAAAAATGACAAAGGCACATAACATTACCTACACTAAAATTATGTGCTGTTATTTTTAACTAAAACTATTGCTAAAAATAAATAGTTTATTAGATGAAATATAAATGGAATATGTAAATGAAAATTTGCAATAAAACTCAAACTGAAATAAAAATAATAAAACTAAATAGAAATATTAAAATAAGAATAACAAAGGCACATAACAGCACTAAAATGTAAACTAAAATTAAAATGAAAACAATAAAAAATAAAACAATCATAAAAATATAATAAAATCTAATTAAAAAATCTATAAATACTATATAAAATAACAAGTTTATATACTAAAATAATACATTTTTAAACACAAACATGGAATTTTATGTCTCAAAATTAAAATTTGTAATACATCATACGCTGAATAGGAAAAATGCTGGTTTCTGTTTCTAAACGTCTCTTGAATTGCAATAAATCATATTTATTCCAGGTGCAAGTGAACCCGTACTTAACATAACCAGAGTCATGTTTTCTTTTACCTTGTATGTGATTAGTTTAAATATTGATTGCATTTTGAATAGTTTCTCCCTGTTGTCCATGATCTGATCAGGACACACCAGTTGAAAACCACTGATATAAGTGACTTAAACCATTAATATCCTGTCACCTCTAATAAAATACCACTGATGACCAATCTGAATGGGATAAACTGTAGTTAGCTGCAGTGTGTATGCTGTAGAGAAATGCAATGCTCATGTGCAAATAGCAAGAAAAAGAAAAACAGAGCGAGAGAGAGAGAGAGAAAGACGAAGAGCAAGAAGACAAATCAGCCATGAACCTATGCTGCGAGGAAGAAACAAGCCATTTGAACAGATTTACAACCTGATCGACTGGTTAAAAACAGCTCTGAGACTTTAACAGTTTCATGCAAGTCTGCGTATATATATATATATATATATATATGTACAGTGCCAAAAAGGATATAATACATCTGTTTTTTTTCCTCTTTGACCAAGATGTGAGATTCACTTTCCTAACAATGTTTGACTTATTTAGATTCATCTCAGCAGTGACACACACACTCATACTCAAACCCACCCAGAGATCAGCTCTATTGATCTCTGACATTGACGTGTGAGCGGAGCGGCCCACGTATATATATATATATGTGTGTGTGTGTGTGTGTGTGTGTATTAGGGGTGTAATGGTACACAGAAGTCACGGTTCGGTACGTACCTCGGCTTTGGGGTCACGGTTCGATTGTTCAAAGTTGCATTATAAATGCATTATACGGAGGTAAGAGGAAAAGAAAATGCCATCGAAAACATTCTGAAGACAGTCAATTCCTCTCAGAGATACATTCATGTAAACCCCCATATTTCTTATATTTCGAGCAGCGCGAACAGTGAGCTTGATCTGTCTGGTACAATATTTTGTCGTCTTTACAGACTTCAAAAAAATTCCACACAAACTACATTTTGGGAAATGATTGCAATGCAGCATCTCTAGAATCCGAAACCTATCCCACACAGCTGTTTTTGAAATTGGTGGGTAGATCGTCTCTTCTTTTACTCTTTCCTGTCATGACGGTTAGAGTTGCATTACCGCGTGCGCCCCCGTCTGGATTGATCACCTATGACTGACTGCGAGACCGGACCAACTAGAACTGAACACACCGGAACTTAAATGCACAGAAAAGAATGACACAATTTACACAATGAAGGGGAACAGTGCATGAGGAAAACATTCCAAACTGAATGACATGTGACAAGATGAAATATTAGTTAAAAAACATGAATGAAATTTTGAAATGTTGCCTTGGCAACTAACTGAAATAAAATAGGTTGAAGTACTGAAACTACTCAAATTTAAACTGAAATAAAGAAAATAATAAAAGTAAATAGAATTATTTAAAAAATAATAATAATAAAAAAATGACAAAGGCACATAACATTACCTACACTAAAATTATGTGCTGTTATTTTTAACTAAAACTATTGCTAAAAATAAATAGTTTATTAGATGAAATATAAATGGAATATGTAAATGAAAATTTGCAATAAAACTCAAACTGAAATAAAAATAATAAAACTAAATAGAAATATTAAAATAAGAATAACAAAGGCACATAACAGCACTAAAATGTAAACTAAAATTAAAATGAAAACAATAAAAAATAAAACAATCATAAAAATATAATAAAATCTAATTAAAAAATCTATAAATACTATATAAAATAACAAGTTTATATACTAAAATAATACATTTTTAAACACAAACATGGAATTTTATGTCTCAAAATTAAAATTTGTAATACATCATACGCTGAATAGGAAAAATGCTGGTTTCTGTTTCTAAACGTCTCTTGAATTGCAATAAATCATATTTATTCCAGGTGCAAGTGAACCCGTACTTAACATAACCAGAGTCATGTTTTCTTTTACCTTGTATGTGATTAGTTTAAATATTGATTGCATTTTGAATAGTTTCTCCCTGTTGTCCATGATCTGATCAGGACACACCAGTTGAAAACCACTGATATAAGTGACTTAAACCATTAATATCCTGTCACCTCTAATAAAATACCACTGATGACCAATCTGAATGGGATAAACTGTAGTTAGCTGCAGTGTGTATGCTGTAGAGAAATGCAATGCTCATGTGCAAATAGCAAGAAAAAGAAAAACAGAGCGAGAGAGAGAGAGAGAAAGACGAAGAGCAAGAAGACAAATCAGCCATGAACCTATGCTGCGAGGAAGAAACAAGCCATTTGAACAGATTTACAACCTGATCGACTGGTTAAAAACAGCTCTGAGACTTTAACAGTTACATGCAAGTCTGTGTATATATATATATATATATATATATGTACAGTGCCAAAAAGGATATAATACATCTGTTTTTTTTCCTCTTTGACCAAGATGTGAGATTCACTTTCCTAACAATGTTTGACTTATTTAGATTCATCTCAGCAGTGACACACACACTCATACTCAAACCCACCCAGAGATCAGCTCTATTGATCTCTGACATTGACGTGTGAGCGGAGCGGCCCACGGGCCGAGAGAGTGCAGCGCAGACCTCTGGGGAGAAACTCCCATATAATCCATCACCTCCCTCTCCTCCTGAGGAACAATCACACCTCACAGGGTGTAAAAAAGCTACACATTTTGACTGACTGATGGGTTACTCTGTTCCTGCTGCAGCTTTCATCAATCCCAGAATGACTCCAGACCTTCAGGGGCGCCGTAGAGTCATCAAATAACGACAACACTGCATATAACAACAAACCAAAACCAAGTAGTAATGCAATGACATCTGAGCGTCGAGGCTAAAGGTTATTGTGAGTGCAGAACAACTGTGAATGTGACATTGCTTTTATACAACAGTTCGATAAACAAGAAGTAACTTATATTTTACGCACAATCTTGCTGGTTAGTTTGTGTGTTTTTGCTCAGCCAAATGAAAATAGTTTTAAAAAGCAGCAGCAGAATTAACTGTTGTGTATCTCTGAGCAAAAAAACGGAAGGTGGATTTTCGTTCCTGAATGAATCAGTGTTTATGGATTAATCAATTGAGTGAATGACTCAATGATTTACTCGCGAAGACACTCACTTGAATAAATCAGCGATTTTGAATGAATCAGTTGAATGAACGACTCAATGATTCACTCATAAAGACACTCAGTTGAATAAATCAGCGTTTTTGAACAAATTGGTTTAGCGAACAATTCAATGACTCATTCATAAAGACTCATGGTTCCTGAATGAATCTGTGTGTTTGAACGAACTGACTGAATGAATGGTTCACTGACTCATTCATAAAGACAGTAATTTGCCTGGTGGGTAGATCGTCTCTTCTTTTACTCTTTCCTGTCATGACGGTTAGAGTTGCATTACCGCGTGCGCCCCCGTCTGGATTGATCACCTATGACTGACTGTATTTGTTGTCTGACTGCATGAACCGAACTGTGACGTCCATACCGAGTATATATACATATATATATATATACATATATACATATATAATATATACATATTAACACTAGTTATTTAATATATTAATAATTATATTAACCGTGGAATATAATTCTTTGGTCATAAAGTCAGATGTAATTGTTCTAAGTTTATATACTAGAGAAATCCAGTATCTTTTCTTTGTGGAGTCTCTGCATTGACCCTGACTGAGGCCGAGCAGTGTGAAGAAGGGAGAAATGTGTTTAAGGGTGATGAATGGTGATGGAGGGCAGGTCTCCATCAGTTCAGGAGCAGCCTGACCTACAGAGCGTGTGCTACAGGAGTATCTTTACACAACACGACTACACGAGCATCGCTCTCTCTCTCCTCTCTGCCTTCATTAAAATGGAGTCCCTAAAGTTCCCATTCATCTTTCTGACAGGCGTGCCATCGATCGACCTCGGTGCAGGATGCAATTCCAGGCCTTTAAATGACTCTGCGCTTGGTCACTCCAGTCGGATGGCGCTCCGCTAGCCGTAGCCAGCGCTGCCATGTAGAGGAGGGTCAGTTACTCAAACGACTCGTCCACACCACGGCTCATTACAGCCGACCACACGACGGGTCACGGCTCTGTGGCAGAAAGCTGCCGTCTTTGATTTGATGTGCTTGTATGGAGTGTGTCAATGAACGGCCATTGACACTGACCATACACTGACACAAATGCATTCTTGACTCAAAGGAATCGATTGGATATTTTTCCAGTGTATTTAATCAATTTTAGGTCTATACAGTCTAATAAAGTCTGTTAGTTTGCACTTAAAATGAATATTGTTGTTTTGCCTATATATATATATATATATATATATATACACTATTATAGTTTTTATTAACAACTCCGTTTTCAGTTTCAAGTTTTAGTAATTTTGTCCGTTTGTTTGTGTGTATATATATATACTGTATATGCTGTATATAAATATATATATATATATATAGAGAGAGAGAGAGAGAGAGAGAACATAATAAATATGAAAAATATTATATAATAATAAATATACATAATATACTTGTATTACTCTGCAATTTATCCATCTATAATGAGAGAAGAGCTTCTTTGGAGGCTGGAGACTCTTTAAAGAGCAACAAACAGTCAATATCAGCAAAGCTATTCATCTCTCTGACACCGGTGCATTTGTTCCTCTGGTGAGGCCATCATTTTAACTACTGCAGAACTGCATGCACACATATATACAGCATATGCATGCAAATAAAGAGTGTACGCACATAAATGCACATACAGACCAATAAATGGCTGGTTTTACACATACACACACACACACACACACACACACACACACAGAGAGAACAGGGCCCATGAGAGCATCACAGATCTCTGCTTCGCCTGAGGTGAGTTTTCCTCCATAACCTGAGGAATCTTGCCTGAGGTGAATATACAGCATCACAGCTACTAATGACCTTTAAAACACACACACGTCTCTGAGTAAACAGACTTTAAGAAGTCTATATTGTGCAATAAAATCTAAATGGCAGGTGCTTTAGGCAAAGGTTGTGGCAGGAAGAGGAAATAGGATGGAGCAATTTCCCGATCCCTCTTCATCTTTCTGGAATCTTCTTAATCTCTCAATAACACTCAAAAGTCATTATGGCTGCTGTGTGTACATTAATGAGGAAAAAAAATTAGCTTAAATGATTTTAGCAAATGGCTGCAATATAACAAAGAGTGAAAAATTTAAGGGGGTCTGAATACTTTCCGTACCCACTGTATTTTATCGTATTATATTGTACAAAATTTCCAAAAAACAACAATCATTTTGCACTTTGCACCTCAAATATTCATATTTGTGGTCAGGAAACAAGGAGATTCAATTTGTCTTATTTTGTTCTTACTACTTACAACAATAAAAGAAAAACTGATTAAGCTCAGATTTTTGTTCTTGCACAGTGATTTATAGTGTCTTTTCTGTGGCACTACTGAAACCAAATAAAATTACAAATACATTTCCTAAAAGGCTTCCCAAATATTATTTGGCTCAAACTTAAACTATTCGTTGAGGCAGATGACGACACGTCAGGTCGCTTAAACAGAACAATGTTTTGAAAACGCCACAGAGCCACAATGTTTACACTCTTCAGGAACGTAAAACTACCAAAAGTCAAAACGCTATGCTGTTCATAACCCTTTAACTTCATGTTTAGGATATTTAACAAAAAAAAAAAAAAGTGAAAAGTGTGTCTAAATAACTGGTGGTTGAAAAATATTGAAATATTTCTTTGCAATAATATGCATTGGTGAACCGTACACAATAAGACCAGGAATGTGCATTTATATAAATAGTGTGCATTTGATTTCATATTGACTAGCATTGAAAACATCACATAATTCATCTGTAACGACAATAAAAGAAAAACCTGGGCAACAGTCAGACTATAGTCCTTACATAAACCATGCATTAGATTTCAGATCACTGACACGCTTGGATCAGAACAAAAACTAAACTGAGCTAAAAATGACAATATTGCTCTGTGTACAGCTGCTTTACAGCTAAAACTGCATTAGTTTCAAAACTGAAGGACTTTGCAACATTAAACGAATAGTTCACCCAAAAATGAACATTTATTGAAAATATACTCAACGTCAGGCCATCCAAGATGCAGATAAGTTTGTTTCTTCATCAGAACAGATTGAACAGCTTTTTATCAGCTGTTTGGACTCTCATTCTGACGGCACCCATTCACTGCAGAGGATCCACTGCTGAGCAAGTGATGCAATGCTACATTTCTCCAAATCTGTTCTGATGAAGAAACAAACTCATCTGAATCTTGGATGGCCTGAGGGTGAGTACATTTTCAGCAAATTTAAATTTTTCAGTGAACTATTACTTTAATACTGTTCTGTATTGAATAAAGTTCTTTAAAATAATTGTGACTTGACTCGAATACTGAGTGCCACACACACACACACACACACACGTGTCATCAGCGAGAGCGTCTGCTATTTATCCCTACCTGTGAGGAAGATGGAAATTCTCAAATGGTCCCAAATGGAGCATGTCCTCTCTGCATTGGCTTTAATTAAGCGGCTGACAGTGACTGCGGCTCACAATTACAGACAGGCAGACAGTGCAGCTCGGTGTTCTCCACGCACAAAGAAGCCCAGGACCCGTCGCATAATGAATGCATTTTAACAAGATGAAACCAAACCAATTACAACTGCTGTCATATTCTGAAGTGCTCTGCTTAATGAATATAAGAACAATATGTTTCCTAAAAGAGATTAAACCGTCGGCCCGCGCTACGCTCGCTTGAACTGCTAGCGAGTAACAATTGCAGAGTGTTTCAAACATCATGAAAGGAGACGGTATGTGTGTGTGGAAGAGAGAAAAAGAGAGAAAGAAAGATTCCAAATGAGAAGAAGGATGGAGAAAATGTGAAAAAAGACATCAGCTTTGTTTGGAACAGAATGCATGCATACTGTGCAATATATACTCAATACTGTCTGCTATTTGTTCATAAATGAATACTTTTATTCAGCAAGGATGCATTAAATTTATCAAAAGTGACAGTAAAGGCATTTATCATGTTACTAAATATTTTTATTTTAAATAAATGCTGTTCAACTTTCAATTCCTCAAAGAATCCTGGAAAAATGTACCACTGTGTTTAACGTTGATAATAATCAGAAATGTTTCTTGAGCAGCAAATCAGCATATTAAGAATGATTTCTGAAGGATCATGTGACACTGAAGACTGGAGTAATGATGCTGAAAATTCAGCTTTGATCACAGGAATAAATTACATTTTACTATATATTCAGATAGAAAACACTTATTTTAAATTGTAATAATATTTCACAATGATATTGTTTTTACTGTATTTTTGATCAAATAAATGCAGCATGGGAGGGCAAAAACATCAAAACATAATTACTTACATATTAAAAAATATACCATTAGCAGTACAAATACTGAATACTGTCTGTTATTTGTTTAAAGGGGTCATATGATGCGATTTCAATTTTTCCTTTCTCTTTGGAGTGTTACAAGCTCTTGGTGCATAAAGAAGATCTGTAAAGTTGCAATTTTTTTTTTACTTTAAACCGCATAAACACATTTCATTACACCAAATACACAAAATAATGTTCTTTTTAGCAGCATCATATGACCCCTTTAAACAGAAAGTAGTATGCTACAATATTGTCACATGACTTCATGACATTGTCATATCAGAAACAAAAATATTTATTTTGCATTTTTGACCCAATTTCATGTAAAATGTCCTTTTTGTCAGTATGATCAAATAATGTAAAGGAGAAAAAAAAACTAGTTCATTCTTCATAATAGAAATGAAGGTGAAGTTGAGCGCATTGCATTGTTGGATACAGTTTTCCACGCAGTGTGCTTTTAAACAGTATAAATGTATTTATTCAATACATTTTGTAAATAAACTGTGCACAGTGCCATTCCAAAAATACCCCAAAATATATTTCTCCTCTTTTTCTGTGTGTGTCTAAGAAAAAGAGCTGGGTTTGAATTATATTCTGTGCACTTTTATATTTACTTTAAATCTTGACACAACGAAATGAAGGTGAAGTTGAGCGCATTGCATTGTTGGATACAGTTTTCCACACAGTGTGCTTTTAAACAGTATAAATGTATTTATTCAATACATTTTGTAAATAAACTGTGCACAGTGCCATTCCAAAAATACCCCAAAATATATTTCTCCTCTTTTTCTGTGTGTGTCTGAGAAGAAAAAGAGCTGGGTTTGAATTATATTCTGTGCACTTTTATATTTACTTTAAATCTTGACACAACAGAGATGAATCATTGAGTAGAACATGAGTTCTGTCATTAATCATGTCTTACCAGCTGCTCTCTGAATCTACTGTTTTAATGTGCGACACGTGTTTGTGCTGCGCACTGCATTCAGCGTTTACACAATAAATCCAGCACTGATTTCATATGCAACAAGTCTAGGATGAAATATTATTACAATTTAAAACGGCTGTTTTCTATATTAATATATTTTAAAATGTAATTTATTTCTGTGATCAAAACTGAATTTTCAGCTTCATTACTCCAGTCTTCAGTGTCGCATGATCCTTTTTTTTATGTTTTTGCCCACCCAGGCTGCTTTATTTGATTAAAAAATAAATTAAAAACAGTAAAATTGTGAAATATTATTATAATTTAAAATAACTGTTTTCTATGTGAATATCTGTTAAAATGTAATTTATTCCTGTGATCAAAGTTGAATTTTCAGCTTCATTACTCCAGTCTTCAGTGTCGCATGATCCTTCAGAAATCATTCTAATATGCTGATTTGCTGCTCAAGAAACATTTCTGATTATTATCAATGTTGAAAACAGCTGTGCTGCTTCATTAGTCCACTGTTAGACTACTGCAAACTGAAAAAAGATTCCCTGAGGCAAGGCGAGAAAAAATGTATCTATGTAATATCATGAGCTCATTGGTTTGGATTCCAGGGTAATGGAGCGAACACTTGGGGAATGTTTCTCTAGCAGTCTCTCACATACACTGATATACCTTCACTTTCAGCAGCTCTATTCATTCCTAATGCTTTACTGATATAGATTGTAAGCCTCTGAAAGTCCTCCGTCTATATTAACGACTGAATATTAGGATAGAATAAAAGCTGTAGCACAAATGCTCCACACCAAATGTCCTTCAACATTTTCCTTTCAAAAAACATCTCAGACCTTGATATAGAGTGTTAATGTGAGAAACAAGAAAATTATAGTTAATGTAATATCACTAGGGAACTCCAAAGAGAAAGGAACAATTGAAATCGCATCATATGACCCCTTTAAGGTCACGGAAATGTCATCAAAATCACCTTTAGTCAATACAAATTTCACAAGATATATTCAGTATTTCTTCAGGTAAAAATTCATGAATAACTAGAAAAGTCATGAAAAATCATGGAACGTCACTGGTCAAAAAAGATGGAGACAAGTTTGGGCCGGAGAAGCATTTGCATTTGCACAGAGATATGAAATCATCATTGAGAATAAAGGAAACTACTAACTAACTAAATAAATAAAACTAAACTTATATATAGCATAATGAAAATTAAGTCTATTTTTAGGACCATTAATATTTTTTCAACATTATTTTTATGACAATTGAGCACACTTTTTTTTTAATCTCAATTTGCAGTACTGTAATACAAAAAAAAATCAGTTTCTACTGAAATAAGAGAAAATTGTTTAAATTATACAATGTTTTAATTTATTTGTATTATTTAATATATAATTATGCACAATTTCCTCCAAATAAACACTGCTGTAATTTCATTTAAAAAATATGATTCTTTTTACTGTAATGCGGAAAAAAAATGTATTCTATTTATTTCTATTATTTTACTCATATAATTTGTGTTATTATTCACTATTGACTTTTATAACATATTTTTATTAATGAATTAAGTTAATTAATAAAAAAATAAAATTAGAATCATTATTGTGACTAATGTAAATGACAAATGTATTATTATTATTAATATTGTAATAATAATATACATATTATTACATATTAATATTAATCAGTAATATCCTAACCTACTTTTCACAATCCAATCAAATTCCGATGGATAAAATCCAGTCCTACATTATTTTGCACTAAATATTCCAAAGTCACATAACACTGCTCAGCGTGTTGCAAACACCATTTCTGCTTTTAATGGCTGCAGAATCACGGTCAGGTCCACGGCTGGAGTGAGTCATGAAGAGAGGAGGAAGAGGAACAGATGTGAGGACGCAGTGCTTTATTTCTGTGCACAGAGCAAACACACGGACACAATCTGGACACACAAAAGAAGAGTCTATCATTCTCCTCATCCACTCCATTTCATAGAGCCATATGAATCAGATGATGATGAGAAGAGCCGGCGGATGAGGCATGAGCTGATAAGAGCTCAGCCAGCGTGTGCATCTCACCAAACCTGACAAGAATATCACTGGCTCATATTTCATTTTAAGATAAAAAGAAGAAATGATGTATGGCATAAAGAAAATGAAGTCTATTTTTAGGACCATTAATATTTTTGCATTAGTTTCATCTTAATTGAGCTGATTTTAATCACAATTTGTGATTAATGTAACATTAATGTAATATTAAAATAATAAAAACATATTTATTTTTATTTATTTGTATTATTTAACATTACTATTATTTCCATTATTCAGTGGAGTAAACATTATTAAAATAATAAAAACATATTTATTTTTATTTATTTGTATTATTTAACATTACTATTATTTCCATTATTCAGTGGAGTAAACATTATTAAAATAATAAAAACATATTTATTTTTATTTATTTGTATTATTTAACATTACTATTATTTCCCCAAAAAATTTTAATTCCCAAAAATTATCATTCTTTTTACTGTAAAGGTAATTGTATTATATTTTATTTAATAATATTTTTCTTCATTTTCTGAATTGTTTTATAATTTGTTTTTAATATTCATTATTACATTTTACAAATTATTGCAATGAGATAATTAAGTAGGCGTGGCTGACTCTGAACTTTTATAAAGAATATCTCTTTGGATTTGAGACTTTAGACTTTGCAACTTTACAGATCTTCTTTATGCACCAAGAGCTTGTAACACTCCAAAGAGAAAGGAAAAATTTAAATCGCATCATATGACCCCTCTTTAAGATATTCTAAAGATCAATATCATGATTTTCTGTGAAGCTGCTTTGAAACAATGAGCATTGTGAAGAGTTCTACATAAATCAATGTGACTCGACTCATCGGTGGTTTGAGGTGAATGAACAAGATTGCACAGCGATGACATCATGGCAGTCACGCTTCGAGCGTCGCAGCACCTGCAACATCTGCAGCTGTTCTTATCAGACCTTCATCCTGTGTGTGAGTGCAATCAGCCGCTCTGACAAGAGAGAAGACCCGAGCCGAGCCGAGCGAGACGTCAGCTGTGTACTAATGTGTTACAAGTGCGAGCTGAACCTCGAACACAAACATTCACAGTTCAGGTGCGTCATCGCATGTGAGAGAGACAGGGCGAGAAACAGTCAACCCTACAATGCTTTCATGCCTTAAAGTCGAGCTGTAAACCTCTGACATTCAGGAGAAGCGAGGAGAATGTTTATGATCTCAGCATTAGATGTGTATGTATATTTACACTGCGCCGAAAACACAAAAACTAGTCGAGTGACATTTTAGGCAAAAGTTGCAGCAGCTTTTAATTAAAAAAGTCCCATGAAGCCTAATTACTGAGAGACCTTATCAGCGTGTGCTCGGTTGGGTCAAAATAATTAACTTTGTGAGAAGGTACCGAGGCCTTTCTTGCACAAGGTCACCTGGACGTCCATCACTGTATGTTCTCGGAACAGACCACAGAAGTACATTGATTTCTCAAGAACAGAACGTGATCACAGGAATATGCAAAATGAGTCCAATTAAAAACGTTTCAAAGGAACAGTTCACCACAAAATCATCATTTACTCATCGTACAACCGGTATGACTTTCTTTCGTGGAACACAAAAGAAGAAATGTTAAAGTTTGTGAAGCAAAAGTGAGGTAGATCTTAAAGGGACAGTAGCAATAACAGCCTGTTTAACTCTGAAGGTCGTAGTCAGTGTTATTATTGTTAACTAAAACGATTAAAAATTGTTAACTGAAATAAAGATGAAATACAATATCCTTTTTTAAATTGTATATCGTTTTATAAGTTTTAAAATTGTAATAGTATTCATATTACTAAAATATAAATATTAGATTAAACATTAAACTATATACTATTAAAATTGTTAATAGATGTTAATTGAAATAGATGAAACGCAATATATTTAAAAATGTAATATTTTACATTTTTACATTTTATATTGTTTTATACATTTTCAAATTGTAAAATGTAAATATTAGATTAAATATTAAAAATATAAACTATTAGAAATCTTTTTGTGATACATTTATTATAAATTTGAACATTTTATATTTTAAATTGTTTCATTTGATACTTTTATACATTTTAAAATTTTCATATATATTTATTTTTATTAAAATATAGACAGTTTCTGTTCGGATCAAATTTGGCATAACTAGGCTGTTTTTTGTTTGTTTTGGTTTTCAGTTTTTTTCCCCAAATCAATAAATATACTATATTGTAAATCTCAATTGACTGTTTTTTATTTATTTATTTATTCACAAAATGTAACTATATTTTCACCCAGCTCCTTATATAAAGTTGGATATATAAGTACATCCAACTTTATTTGCATACATACAGTATACTTTTGTAGGGGGATATATACTATATTGCAAATCTCAACGGCCTGATTTCTTGCATCGTGGCATAACATAATTAGTATTAATATTGATCAAATATAAATATTAGATTAAACTTAAATTTAAAAATGCTTAAACACAAATTAGAAATGTTGCCTTGGCAACTAACGGAAATATAAAAAAATTAGGTTGAAGTACTAAAATTACTCAAACTAAATAGAAATATTTTAAAGATAATAATAATTATAATAATGCAAATGACAAAAGCCCACAACAAAATGACTAAAACTTAAACTAAAATTAAAATGAAAATATACAAATAATAGCTAATTCAAACTATGGCATATGGTCAATAAAAACAAAATTATGTTGCAAGAAACCTAAAATCTGTTGCAAAAGAGTCGCTCACCTAAAGTTTTGGCCACCTCCAGGTCTTGTTGCATGTAGGCGGTGCTTTTCTCCGTGTTGCCCAATGACCAGTAAGAGCTGCTGAGGGCCGAGAAAACAGAGCCGCGCAGCTTGAGGCTGCAGGTGCCGATCTTCAGCGCCGCCTCCAGGACCACCACAGACGCGCCGTGATGGGAGGCGGTCAGCAGCTCCTGACCAATCACAGACACCACCACAAACGGACTCTTGTCCAGCTTCATCTTCTGCAGCTGCTGGTAGGTCGGCTCCAGGGATTCTGCAGTAATGTAATGAGAGCGAGAGTTAGAAAAGATGTGACATGAAACATACAAAAAAAAAACTCCTCAGATTTAGTACAGTATTTAAAAGTAAATCTACCTTACATCTAAATACACACTTAATGCAAATTTTACATTTACTAATCATCGAATACACAAAACTTAGATATTTAAAAAACTATTTTGGATGTTTTTTTTTTGGTTAGATATAACAAGAAATTACATTGTGACGAGAGGGGCGGGGCCGAGAGCCGTGGGAACGGAGCGAGGCCGGTGGAGTACATGCTAATGCGCGACACCTGCGCCACTCACCGGTCTCGAGTCCCACGGAGGAGCTCCGGATGGATAAAAGGAGGAGTGACGACAGTGTTGGACGAGAGAGGACCAGGCCTGGATTTTATTTTGTGTGCGGCAGTCGTCCGCGAGGGGCTGCCGCTTTACTTTCATTTTGTGTTTGTTTATTTTATTAAAGTCTTTAAATGTTCGCCGGTTCCCGCCTCCTTCTTCCCGTGACTACGAACTGTGTTACATACATTAAATCTCATAAAATGACAGGTTTTTTTTGCTAAGTCTAACATAATTAAACCATTCTTTGTTGGTAATTTGGACACAATTAGACAGTTTCTGAGCCAATTGGACAAAACTGAGCTGTTTCTTGCTTAATCTGACAATATTGAACAGTTCTTTGTTGTTAAATCAGACAAAATTAGACATTTTCTGAGCAAATCTGACCATATCAAACAGTTGTTGGTAAATTGGACAAAATTAGACAGTTCCTCACCAAATCAGACAAAAACTGGCCTTTTTTGTGTGCTAAATTTGACAATATTGAACAGCTTTTGATGGTAAATTGGACAAAATTATGCAGTGTCTCACCAAATTGAACAAAAGCTGGTCTGTTTTTGGCTAAATCGGACGAAATTAATCCACTGTTGTTGGTAAATCAGACAAAATTAGACAGATTCTGACAAAATCTGGCATAACAAGGCAGTTTTTTATCTAAATTTGACAAGACTAAATAAGACTAAATCAGGTTTTACAGACAAAACAAATTTTGTCAGTTTTTTAGATATTAAAACACTCTAAATGTTCTCAGAACAACAAAACTAATAAGACAAAATCAGACCATTTTAATGCTAAATCTGACAAAATCGGGTCAATTTTCTCACTAATTGCATATGCTAATTTTATATGCAGCACCTCATGTCACTAAAGTTACTAGTATTGGCAAGAGCTCATTCAGTTGTAATTTGTTGACTGAACTTTTATTCAGTTCATTTACACATCACAAAAATGAAAAAGAAAATGTAATTGAGCAGGTTAAACACGAGCTCGTTTACTGTACAAGCGCAGAACAAACGACTGTAAAGCTAACACGGCGTGTTCAGTGAAACAGCTTTTGTCTGCACAAGTTGAGGTGATTATTCATGTGTGTTGTCGCCGCACACTCAAAACAGACCTTCTTGTGGAAGTTACTCGGTAAAATATTCACCTTAGAAATGCTTATCCGTAAAACAAACCCACGTGTTACTATGCGGTAAGATGTACGAACGCACCATATGTGCAGAGGTGACCTCCGGCGGAGGAAGGAGACACAGTTAAAGAGAGAAACGCACACGCTGTCATAAATCACGACGGGCCACAGTCGAGTGTCACCCACTGCCCCGTGGGACCTCCAAAGATCCGTTTTTATCTGCCCTTCCCTCGTTTTTCTGTGGAGTGTATTTCTTACTGTCCTTCTGGGTGTGTTTGATAGCCAATTCAGCATGTTTCATCTCGGCTGCGCAAATGTGTACTGTCATAAGCGCTTTCATATCATACCCTGCATTTCATAACAGCTGGAACACTGTGTTGACCAATCAGCAACTATCAGTGTTATAAAATGTTTTATACATTGCTGTATTATTGATTATGATTCATCAGCACATTGGTAAATCAGACAAAATAAGGCATTTTCTGAGCAAATCGTACAAAACTTAGCTGTTTTTTTTTTGTGCTAAATCTGACCATCTTAAACAGTTTTTTGATGGCAAATTGGACAAAATCTGAAATTTTTTTAGCAAACTGGCCAAAACTGGGCAGTTTTTTGCTAAATCTGAAAATATTAAACAGTTTTTTATGATGAACTGGACAAAATTAGACAATGCCACCGAATTGGACAAAACTGGACTGTTTTTAGCTAAATCTGACAAGATTAAACAGGTTTGTATTGGTAAATCAGACAAAATACATTTTCTGAGCAAACTGGGGGGAAAAAAACTAAATCTGACAAGATTAAAACAGACAAGATTAGAAATTTTCTGACCAACTCAGCTAAAAAACAGACAATGTCACCGAACTGGACAAAACTGGACTGTTTTTTGCTAAATCTGTAAAGATTAAACAGTTTTTGTTGGTAAATCAGACAAATTTAGATAGTTTCTGACCAAATCTTGCATAACTAGGCTGTTTTTTTTAAATGTCTAAAACTATGTTTTTTTTGTTTTGTTTTTTGCTTCAGGATTATTTGTGACTTTATTATTTGTTTTAAGTCGCTGGGGTATATTTGTAGCAATAGTATACATTGTATGGGTCAAAATTATTGATTTTTCTTTTATGCCAAAAATCATTAGGATATTAAGTAAAGATCATGTTCCATAAAGATATTTTGTAAATTTCCTACCGTAAATATATCAAAACTAAATTTTTGATTAGTAATATGCATTGCTAAGAATTTCATTTGAACAACTTTAAAGGCGATTTTCTCAATATTTAGATTTTTTTGCACCCTCAGATTCCAGATTTTCAAATAGTTGTATCTCGGCCAAATATTGTCCTATCCTAACAAACCATACATCAATGGAGAGCTTATTTATTCAGCTATTTCGAAAAAATTGACCATTATGACTGGTTTTGTGATCCAGGGTCACATTTGATGAATAGCAAGTTCAAAAGAACAGCATTTATTTGAAATCAAAGACATTTTTAAGACATACTTATCAGCTATACTGTATTTCTTTCGATCTACAGTATCTATCGAAATCTATCGAAAATCTATCCAAATTCAGCATGAATGAATCTCCTAATTGTAAAAAGACACTTCAGGAACACGGAGTGATTTCCGACAGGTTTAATTCCCTCTTCTCGTGTAGCCAACAGGCGTGAACGTCCTCTACCGCGGGCTACAAACACTCCTCTGGGTTTGTGGTAACGCATTCATATCGCGTAATTGCATTCAGCCTGACACTTTTACAAGTTGCATAAATCGGTATGGCGAGAAACTCTTTGGCTTGGGGACGGAATTGAGTGTGTATGTGAATCTAGTTAACAGCAGACACGGGCACGATAAACAAGAGCGCAGAAGTGCTTATGCAGCCCGCCGCGGAGAGGAGGGTTTAATGATGAGCCTCTGGGTGCCTATCTTTCCTTCCTCTCGACGCTTTTTTCTTTCTCTTCGTCGCTTCCCTCTCTTCTGTCGAGAGGCTTTGCCATGTGAAACAGAAGCTTTGACGTGTCTGTCTGGCGTCTCGTGGGAAGCAGCTAAATAAAGAAATAATAACAGAGACTGACAACAACATCCACTTGCATTTCATTGTGTTTACTTTCTTTTAGTCTATTTACACTACTATTCCTAAACTAAGCCGTGCGGATTTCCATATCTGTAATTCGCTGTGCATCTGGAGGAGTTCTAGTATTCCCTGTAGCTCAAAAACAGAGGTTTCAGGTAGATGCTGCACTAATTCATCACGCTTTATACCGCTGGGACTGGCTAAAAACACATCAAGAGAGAGTAGAAACCATCTGTGGATACAGTACAACCATCAATCACATCAATACTGCAAACTTTTCAAAAAAGATGTTTGCAGACCATTTCAATGACGCATCGCTTCAGTATTTATAGTATTTAGTATCCATCTTATTTATAGATAGAACGATAGAACGAATGATAGAACGATAGATAGAACGATAGTATGATAGATAGAACGATAGAACGAATGATAGAATAACTGATAGAATGATAGTATGATAGATAGAACGATAGAACTATGGATAGATAGATAGATAAATAGATAAATAAATAGAATGATAGAACAATGGATAGATAGATAGATAGATAGATAGACAGACAGACAGACAGACAGACAGACAGACAGACGGACGGACGGATGGATGGACAGATAGAATGATGATAGAAAGATAGAACTATGGATAGATGGATAGATAGATAGATAGACGGACGGGCGGACGGATGGACTGATTGATAGATAGACAGACAGATAGATAGACAGAAGATAGATAGATAGACGGACGGGCGGACGGATGGACTGATTGATAGATAGATAGACAGATAGATAGACAGATAGATAGATAGATAGATAGATAGATAGACGGACGGACGGACGGACAGACGGACAGATAGATAGATAGATAGATAGATAGATAGTCAACGCTTTAATACTCAATTATGTTTATATTCTGTTCATTCTGTTTAACCCTAGTGTATAGTGTATGTCTCTGGCCATTAATTATAGAGGTTTTCCTCAAGACTGACTAGTTGATCACTGTATAGTGCTGCACATCACAAACTGGAGCTAACCAGCTCAACAGGCACGAGTTGGCTGAGATTATCCTGAGTGTGATTTCCGGAGTCTGCAACTTTCCAACACAAAGCTAAGAGGCGCGTCTGTTATCCCCCGCGAGCAGCCCGACACAATCGGCTCAGTTTTCGGTGGCATCTCACCTCTCGTCTTAGCGGAAGGGCTTTGAATGGCACCTCTGATGATGTGAAGCCGAGAAGAGAACAATTAAATTAAAGTTAGGTAATCCCACATGCAAATCCTCACACAAGGGCGCTACAAAAGCGATAAAGGGATGAGGGGAAGCGAGAGAGCGGGAGAAAGCGGGTCTCTTGTTATCAGCGAGCCCAGGGGCCGTGAGCGATCACCCCTCTGCCCGGAGCCGATTTGGAGAGACTGTTCAACATAATCTACTCTCTCCGCGGCTCAGAGCGCTGCGTCTGGCTCTAAGGGACAACAGGGGGAAATAAGGGACATAAGTAGCAGATAAAACGGCCCCGTTTGGATGTCCTCCCAGAGCAACGGCTGTTTGCATGACCCTGTTTATTCTGAGACTGCGATTTACATCCGAGCGTCCCGAAAGCATTTCTCAAACCCCTACAGCTAGCGGCCCGTCAGAGGATGTGGTATACACACACGTGCACATAAACACACACAGACCGTCCCGCCACAGACAGCTGGACAAACGCAGTGAAACTGGACACTTTTTAAGGTTATGTGGCATCATTCACTGCAAGCGCTGGATTTCTGCTGCTATTCTGGTTCATGGTCTGATGTTTCAAAACGTGTAGTGTTGACATTGGGCGAAAAAGACTGAAAACTGACTCCTACATTTTAGCCTTGACTTTTAGATATGGTGGAAATTAGAGAAATATTGTAGAAATTGTGAGAATTATTTATAAAATGTAAAATATAAAATGTTTATAATACTAATTACATATATTAAATATACATAAATATCTTCATTATATTAGTAAATATTCATATATATAATTATTATATACATTAGTAAATATATATTAGTAGATATATTGATTTATTGAGGTTATGTAGAAAATATATACATATAAATATTTTCTGAAATATATCAAATGTAAATATTTTACACAGACACATACAGTATATATATATATATATATATATACACACACACACACACACACACACACACACATACTGTATATCAATTATCTATTTTTAAAATACTGATCAATCTCCTAATTCTGTCAAATAAACATCTACAAATAGTTTGGAAGCTTCAAAAATTATAATAAGCACAGAAACACTGTAATTCCACTAGTAGAGAATTGAGACTTTGCTCTTTCATTCAGTGCATAAAAATGCAAAATTATCTCAAATAAGGGAGCAGGTCACATATGATCCGAAAAAAACAAAAAACAAGCACATTATACACACTGAAACCCCCATTATCATGCTCATTATAGTCAGCAGATGAATCTACACCAGAAGAGCCCGAAAAAGCATGTTGCATCTTCAGTTTATATTTCGCACTCATCTGAAATCATTTTTAAACATCATTTCCTACTTAGATTTTGGCATTTTTAGATTTCAAATAAGACAATATATGGCCCATTCATGTACCTTTTTCACTAATGAAATTCTTTTTATTATATTTAAGAGGCTGTTTTCAGGAATTTGACCCCAAAACCTGTACAAACATGCCGTGTACCTCTTAGAGGGGACTTCATGGCGGCCTCCACCATTCCCACCAGCAGCTGCAGGCTCTTGGGATCCTGCGCCAGTCCCGAGGCGAAGGCGGCCAGGGCATCCGCATGGCGCCCCAGGTACTGAAGGGCAACACCCTGTCGGAAGTATGCCTACAGAAAGAGGACCAGAGATAAAGCATGTTAGTACTGTCATCCACTTCAATGAACAAGCAACATATTCTGGATCAAATTCATCATGGTGTTGCCCTTCACCAGTGCAGACGGCTTCCTCCCAGAATTCAATCTTAAAGTGCACAAATCAAAGCGATCTGAACAAAAACCCAAACCATAAGTGTTAAACCACAGTGTGAAACCCATTTAGACATGAATGATTCCTCAAATCGTGCATCTCTTGATCAGACGCAAGTACCAACAAACCAACAAAAACATCTTAAAAAATCCCAAAGACTCACACTGACCTGAGCCATATCTGTTTACTGTGAAGATTAACAGGAACATGCATGCTAAACAAACACATTTATGATGTTTAAAGGAATACTGCAGCCAAAAATGCAAATTTACCCACCCTCAGGCCATCCAATATGTAGATGAGTTTGTTTCTTCATGGGAACAGATTTGAAAAATGTAGCATTCCATCACTTGCTCAGCAATGGATCCTCTGCAGTGAATGGGTGCCGTCAGAATGAGAGTCCAAACAGCTGATAAAAACATCACAATAATCCACAAGTAATCCACACCACTCCAGTCCATCAGTTAATGTCTTACGAAGCAAAAAGCTGCATGTTTGTAAGAAACAAAATCATTATTAAGATGTTTCAACTTTAAACCGTCACTTCTCGGCTATAATATGAGTCCACAATCCATAATAATGCTTCCTACAAGGAAAAAGTCCATTCTCTGTTGTCCTCTCACATCAAAACCCACTAACATATCTGTTTAGAACTGTTTTTGACTGTTTTGTCTTATAATCAGATTTTTCAGACCAGATGACTTTTTCCACTGGAGGAAGCAATATTACAGACTTGTATTTTAGCTGGAAGCAGCGGTTTGATAATACATTTGCCTTAATAATACATTTATTTCTTACAAACATGCAGCTTTTTGGCTTCACCAGATGTTAACTGATGGACTGGAGTGGTGTGGATTACTTGTGGATTATTGTGATGTTTTTTTCAGCTGTTTGGACTCTCATTCTGACGGCACCCATTCATTGCAGAGGATCCACTGGTGAACAAGTGATGCAATGCTATTTCTCAAATCTGTTTCCATGAACAAACTATATCTTGGATGGTCTGAGTGTGAGTACATTTTCAGCAAATATTCATGTTTGGCTGAACTACTCCTTTAAAGTTTGTCCATCATGTAGGTGCTGATACGGACGTTGTATCTCAGACATGCATGCGTTCATGTTTTCAAAGGGGTTGCTGTTATTTTGATCATGCGATGCACACCAGACCGCTCGACTGGATTAAATATCACAGCAGTTCACTTCCCAGAACACATAATGTCCTCTCTATATTCACCGTGAGGGAGATGGGCTGATAAACACCATCATTTTCACTGGCGTTTGACTAAAGGTCCGAGTCCGAGCGGACTCACATCTCCGCCGACATACAGCTCGTTCACAATTATCATCTCACACAGCCGTTTATTAGATCGGCCCGAGCGTGCGGCCCACTTCCAGCCGATCTGATAACGGTTGGGAAGGGGACCAGCGGAAGATTAAGACATGACACTGAATTTATGAAGGCCCCTATAATTAATTTCACTTTGCACAGGGAGCTCTTTGATTACAGACTACCTCTCTTTTTTTTCGGACAGCTTCATTGAAACGAATGATGAATTCAACACATTAACCTTTGGTCTAACCATGTTATTATAGGACGTCGCAGGCCACCGTGCTCGGCTCGATATTAATTGCCTCTTTGTATACGGCCCACTGCACCACGATTGGACGCGCTCGGCCACTGTACGTACACATGCACGTTGAGCGCTTTTAGATTTCGACATCAATATCTGCCCGGAGGCAAATGGATTCAGGGGTTTGTTTCAGACGCCTGGGATTCAATCCTATTTCTGTAATGTAATTTTAAAGCAAATGTGCTTTTCTTTTAGTGAAAGCGAAACAAACACGTGATTATTCAACGTAAGCAAACAGAACACTTGCACTCCGTCGGTTTTAAATTAGAATTAAGTTGATTAAATGACAGGCCGAGCTTTGTGCTACATCTCTCCGCTGAATCCGAAAGCTCTAATTGGTCGATTAGCGTACAGAATTCCCAGCGCAGATGCTGACAGCTCTGTGATTTCATCCGGCATCGCTTTCATTCCCGCGAACACAACACCAATCTCTCCACCTCTCATTTCACTTTATTTACTTTATGTATTTAATTTCCCATCACATGCAAAGAGGCAAAAAAAGAGCTTCCACAATCTGGTCTGAACAAAGCAGGCGTTAAAAGACAAAACAAAGCACTGGAACTGAAGGATTTTAATGATCTTCAGATCCATTAATGATTCTTGAACATCAGTATTCTTGTGCTAATGTGGACAGAATGTCATACACTCTAAAAAAAAATGCTGGGTTAAATACAACCCAGTGCTGGGTAAAATATGGGCAAACCCAGCGATTGGGTTGTTTTCAACCAACAGTTGGGTTAAATGTTTAACCCAACGTTCTGGGTAGTAACACAAATGCTGGGTCAAAACACCCCAATCGCTGGGTTTGTCCATATTATACCCAGCACTGGGTTGTATTTAACCCAGCATTTTTTAGAGTGTACTAAAATACTCTGATAACTGCAGAAAGACAAAATAATCATTAATTTTACCCAAGTTGTGAGAAAAGAGAAAAACAAACAAACAACAAAAAACTGCATGCTAAATAGACACTAAATAGCCAAAACATATTACTTTTGCGTTGCCCTCACTGGTTGCACACAACAACAAACATACAGCGCAACCAGTATAGTGATTCACAAACAAATGACTCATGATTCCTGAATGACTCACTCAATCATTAAGCAGCTCTTAAAATATGTATACAAACATGTTACCAGATACATTATTGTTTGTTTAGTATATAGAGGTCCAATTTTTTATCAGCTTCCTTAAATGACTAAAAGAACTCTTCAAGGAATCATTAAAGATGATGTAACTTGTTCAATGTTAAGATAGTTTCTCCTAAAATCTGAAGACAGGAGGAGTGTTCGGAAAACAGGTTAAAAATGACTCTTATTAACCGGTTCTTCATAATAAATCAATCTCGAATCCATAATTTATCAGTCTAAATCAGTTAATGACTCACTCAATCACTGAATCCATCAGAATGGCTCTTAAAATACGTATTAAAACAATACAAATTATGTTTATATTATATGTTATATTATTAGGTCCAACTTATTTTCACCCTCAGAATTATAAAAGGTGATAAAGGTGATGTGTAATTTAATTTATGCAATGTTAAAATACTGTTAATCTTGTCCAGCCCAACATCAGCAACATTGATTCAACCAATTATGTGAGTGTGGGGGCGGGACTATCTGTTTGACAAACCAATGAAGGGAGGAGGAGTGTTCAGGAAACCTGAAAAACTTTCTGCATTTTCAAATTTCTTTTGATGATCCTATAGTGGAACAGAAACAGAATCTTTAAGTGGTATTCAGAACTAGAATTCATTAAATTCGATATATAGTAGCAGAAATGTATTCTGCATGATTCTACATCCTTCAGATGATCCAGCTCTCCAGTGCGTGTCAATCCAGTGTTGTTTCTCAGGGACTGCTGGAGAATGACTGAGTCGGGTTGGCATATGGAGACACAACTGTTCAGATCAAGTGTGGCGCCTGGCTGCGCTGGCACCTGACATCTTAAATGTGATGCTCCATCCACAGTCAATTACATATAATCATAACCACGGTCATAACACTGGGAAAACTGTCAAACACACCTCTCAGCTGCATGACACACTGAGCTTAATTCAGCTCTCCAAGTTTTTCAGCTTTCAGAATGATGAGCTACTGCCTTTTTTTTTCTCAAGGTTCCAGCGGAATGAGTGGCAAAACAAAAATGAATCAATCCCGCAAAGACCGCCCGCCGTGATTCAGATGTTTTCTGAGCATTTCAATTGAAAACTCGAACAGCAGCATGCTTTGCAGCGCATTATGAGGTTTAAACGTGTGCTGAATTAAAATGATTTCCACACAGTAACAGCAATGAATCTGAGAGCAGATGCCTATAGAGCACTGAGAATATACTTGTATATGAATATGTTGTATTGAATATCGTATTAACGCGTGAACTTTTTTTGTACTAGTATGTGTGTGTGTGTGTGTGTGTGTGTGTGTGTGTATATATATATATATAACATTTAACATATTCTCTCTCATTACAGTAATGTGATAAGAAAGTACATTATTATTTCTATTGTTTTTATTACTGTTTATTTGATATAGTTCATTCCAAATTCATATTAATTGAAATTACATTAATCACAAATTCAAATTAATTATATATTATATTATTTTATTATATGATAGATTATATATACATTTTAGTAAATTTTTCCTTGCAAATTCTCTCTCATTACAGTAATGTGATCAAAAGTAAAGATATTATTTACATTTATGTACAAAACTTTAATACATATAAATATTTATGCAGAATTTTTTCCATTAAAATTAATTTAATCCATTAAAATAAAATATGTTTTGAAGTAATAAGAATCTAATGTAAATCACTAAGAATTCTGAAAAAGACAAAAGAGTCAAACATCCAGACAGATTACAGTAATGAAAATATGGAAGAAATATGAGTTAATTATCATGACAATAATGTCACAATGCAAAAAAAGCACTTCATGGTCTTTAATTTCTTGATCCAAAAATTATTGCTTATTGTTTTTAGTCGAATTTTGGCTGAAATATGACCCAAAATGTGCTCTAGTAAAATCTGTCTGTATCACAGTTGTACATAAGTGCCCTTAACAGACATCATTCCTATAGGCAGGTACGCTTTGCCCCCTGATGGAGTCACTGGCTGCCTAGCAACACTCGCCTGGCAACGCTCGCCCCCTCCGGTACCTGACCTGCTGTGATTCTGGCTAAAAACACGGACAGAAAAGTGTGATGAAGAGATGAAGCAAACGACGC